GAGACACTTTAAAATTCTACTTTTGTCATGATCAGTTTTAGGGTCCGTTTAATTTGTTGATTTGAGTTTTTAATTCGAGTTGAGATGTGATTTTGTGTTAAAGCTTTTTATTGTAGTAAAAAAATTAAATGTAACTATTTCTGAGAGTTTTTTACTGTAACAAAACTCGAATTCTAAATTCGATTCGGTAAAATGAATGGACATTAGTTTAGTTTAGTATCCTAAAAAAAGTTTTTTACTTAGTCAAAACACTATTTTTATCCCAAAAATGCTAATCGGCTCGGTATTCACAACTCCGCATGTAGCTCCTCGCGACCCGATTAGCAGCACTCATTTTTATCTCGAAGAATATACTAGTCTAAATTGCTTTAGCGTGTTAGGGTCCGTTTAGTTCGCTGATTCGAGTTTTTAATTCGAGTTGAGATGTGATTTTATGTGAGAGCTTTTTACTGTAGCAAAAAAGTTAGATGTGATTGTTTGTGAGAGCTTTTTACTGTAGCAAAACTCGGATTCTAAACTCGAATCAGCGAAATGAATGGGGCCTAAAAGTCGCAAACTTTTAATGGCTTTCAACATTTTTGACAAATGGAAAAGAAGAAAAATGAGAATGAGAAACTTGTTACTGAAAAAATTTCAAAACCATCATCAGATCGAGAGTTAAGAAATGTCCTTCACCTTTCATGATAGTATTTTATCGTCATGAAAATTGTGTGTTGACCCGTGCAAAAAGATTGAAAAATTGACATTTCTACCGATATTTTCACGGAAATTTTCATATTTTAAAAGTATTAAAACAAAACAAGCATATAGTATCTTTTTTTAGAATGACTTGAAATTTAAACAGAAATTTTCATAAATATTGATTTTTTTTACAGAACTGTCCATTTTCTTGAAAAGTGTTGTGTTAAATGACCAAATATCGTCACAATTTTATGAAAATTTCGTGAAAATATCAATAAAATTTTTGAGAAATATCGATGAGCTTATATATATTTTTTTAATCTGCTTTTCAGTAATGTAAAATGTATGTTATGCTTTACTTCACACTCAACGTTTTGGTATGAGTATTGTTTAACTAGAGAATATGTGTTCAAGATAACTTCAAACTTTTTAGAAACTCTTTTTTTTTGGTATTGATAATTTATCATCTTATATGAAACCATGGATATAAGCTATTTGTATTAGGTTGACTCTTACATATTTTATTTAATTTGTGAGTGTGTGCTTATCATTCATGATCATAAGACTACAATTAGTATTTTGATTGAGAGGTTCATTAAATTTATGTATTATTCACTATAAAGCCACAATTAAAAATAACGTATTTTAGTATGAATTTTCGTATTTTACGTTAATTTTTACCGATATTTCTGTAAAATTTAAATGTCCATATTTTCATGAATATCTACATTTTCATCAATGTCCATGTATGGCTCAAGCACAGTACGTCTAATAATGATTTTCTGCAAAAGTCTCACATAGTGCATGATGTGATTGTTTCGAGAGGGTGTTAGCTATTTCGCACCATTTCTTTGCACATGGTGTGTTTCTTTTATGTAGGGCAAATAACATGAAAGTAAATGAGCTGAATAGCTGCTTTAGGATTCTTGAAGCGTCGGTTGGGCTGGCCATAAATCATAAGTCAGGCTTGGATTCTTGAAGCTTCGGTTGGGCTGGCCATAAATCATAAGTCAGGCTTGGATTCTTGAAGCTTCGGTTGGGCTGGCCATAAATCATAAGTCAAGCTTTTTTTTTTATTATTTTATTTTAGGGAGGGACTAATTTTGGCTCAAGCAATAGTTGTGTAGTCTTTTGGGAGTTGGAGAGATGAATGGATAATGCAAATTTTTGGGCTTATTCTTTTGAGTGAAAAACTCAAAAAAAAAAATAATTCGAGTTATAACTTTATTCGAGTTCATGTTTTTTTAAGTTTAAATTTGAGTTCAAACTCGAGTTTAGGACTAAAACTCCAGTTCAAGTTTCCCCTTCAACTCGAGTTCAGAAACTCGAACTCAAATTAATGAACAGTATTTTTTCTATTCTTAAAAATGCTATAACATTTTCGTTTTAATTCTGATTGAGATGATTTTTTTTCTATGCGTTGACAACGAAAAGACGAATAAAACCCGACCCATATACCCTATTAAAATTTTTCATCAGCATTGAGTTTTTATTAAAATACTATCTAAATACAAATTTAAGTTTTGACTCACTCAAATACAAACTTAAAAAGATTCTTATCTCAAACCATAATTCAAATGTATACAACCAAACACAAACTCAAGTTACAAGTTCAACTTAAGTTATAACTCAAATTCAACTCAAGAATTATACTCAAGTTAAACTCTAAAAGAACAAGCCCTTTATGTCTTGAAAAAAGTCCAAGGATTTTATTTTTGTTAAGAATAGGTGTTTTGGGAGACTCTAAAAGTGGTGAGCTCCGCTTGTCGAGGGTCAAAAGAGCCACATTGTTTCGGGGTGAATACACTTTTAGGGCCCGTTTAGTTCGTTAATTTGAGTTTTAAATTCGAGTTTATATGTGATTTTATGTGAGAGTCTTTTACTATAGTAAAAAAGTTAGACGTGACTGTTTTTTAAAGCCTTTTATTTTAGTAAAACTCGAATCGGTGAAATAAACAGAGCCTTAGAGAATTGGTATGCAAAATATGTCATTTCTATTGAAAATTTAAGCCTAATAATTTACTAGTAAAAATGATACAAATGTATTACTAGGCTTCAACAACGATTCGTAGTTTGATTTAGATTTGATTCGGTATATGGTGTGGCGAGCCATTCTATAGTATTTGGTTGGCAATTTTTTTAATTCCCTCGTGATTTGTAATTGTATGATATTAATGGTCTAGTTTGGTGATTTTGGTGGAATGTCAATAAGATTGTTATTCGTCCTATTCGCTGTGGATCCAAGCAGTGTGGTGGGATGTGGTTCCTAGGCTTTGGGATATAGTGAGGCTTTTACTTGCTAAACTGGCATGAGAATTTGAATTAAGTACTGTGAATGAACAAATTTAGAGGAATGCCATAAAAACGGAAGAAACATATAAAGATTTAAATTTTTTCAAAAACATTACAAGATTTTTCCTCCTCACTTTCTCCCTTTATAACACACAGAATACTGCTAGAATTACGGGGAGATGTGCACAAAATGGAAGAGGTGATGGTGATATAAGGGCCACATGAGACTCATTTTAGACCTCGTTCATTGCACTGATTCAAATTTTTAGTTTTATGTTTCTACAGTAAAAAGCTCTCAAGAAATGTCATATTAAAATTTTTTGCTACAGTGAAAAGCCTCTCAGAAAATGTCACATCTCTGCTTGAATTGAAAACTCGAATCCGCGAAATAAACGAGACCTAGAGTGTTGGTGTTTGCCGCGTCGTGTCAGCATCTCAAAGGGAAAATGAGGGAAATAAACCAAAATAAGAGAGGAATAAAAATTAATAGATTAATGTTGAGAATGAGTTAATAAATAGGTCATTACGAGCACAGTTGGCATAAGGGTTCTAGAACTCAGAACTATGATTTTGGTTCAAATCAGTGTTTATTCATAAATGGTAAAAAATAGTTTGGATTTTACTCACTCAAAATCAGTGTTTAATTTGGATGATTCAGATTCAAGATTTGAGCTATGATGTGATGTTTTAAACCAGAATCACCCATAATTCTAAAACCACCTCCATTAGTTTTGGGTGGTTCAAACCTCTGATTCTGGTTCTGATTTCAGAATCATGATTTGGACCTAAAATCATGAATCATGATTCTGATTCTAAAATCAAAACTAGAATCACCATGGTTTGAACTCTCATACCAAACGAAGCCTAAGATGTAAATATGCATTTACACAGTTAAAATTTTAAAAATACCATTCACTTAAGTATTCTCGCTCATTCTCTCAAGTCTCGTTTATTTCACTGATTCAAGTTTAGAATTCGACTTTTGCTATGGTAAAAAGCCATCATAAACAGTCACATTTAACGTTTTGTTATAGTAAAAGGCTCTCACATAAAGTCACATTTCAATTCGAATCAGCGAACTAAACGGACTTTCATAGTCTTCGCCTGCTCTCTCTTTCGTCTCGTCAAAAGCCCAGGAAATAGTTAAAATTTTCACCTAAGTATTCTCTCTCGTTCTCTCGTCGTCAAAAGCCCAGGAAACCATCCAAGTGCAATTAACCTCCCCTAATTTGATATCCCTCATCACCGCTTCCTCACCAAGTCGTTGCCTACAGCAGATCGCAGTATAAGGAGAATTTCGATCGCGCAAAGACAAATAAAAGCCTTGCCAGAGACCCGAGGAACCATACTAGAGATGCAATGACGACCATCGGAGATGCGAGAAACTCGTCCGCAAAGATAATCGCCTAAGAGTGAGGGAGAGAATTTGAAAAGAAAGAGAAAAAAATAATAAAAACCCTTTACAGAAGGGCAACATTGAGATCTAATCTTTATTAAATACCTTAATAGAGATAATTAGCCTTGCCAGAGACCCTAATTGTTTTTTTCTCATAAAAAAATTGAATTTTATTAAACATAATCAAGAACGCTGATTTGAACACTGCTTTGAACTCATATACCAAATAGGTCCCAGCTGTTTTCCCCTCAACACATACAAGAGGATTTACACAGTAGCAAAATTTTGATATCAAAGTTTAAATTTAGTAAAAATTTTAAAATATTACAAAAATAGTGAAATTTTATATTATTTTTGTATATTAAAATAAACTTATTATATAGTATAAAATATGATTATGTTATGATAATTACTAAGTCATATTTGTTATATTTATAGTATTTTAAAAATTTTTGCTAAATTTCAACTCAGTAGACGAAATTTTGCCGTAATTATCAGTTTATCACCAACAGATGCATGGTGTTGGGCATACATAGTATTGGGCCTGATTTACATCCATGTGACCTATCCAGACCAAGGCCCAGGTAAAGGCCCATACCCAGATTCCTTTCCGAAACATAATCCCCAGCCATGCCAGTCCCCTTCTCCCACGTTCCGATCTTAAGTCCTGACCTCCGGCGAAACATCCATGGATGCCGACTCTCCCGATCCCCAAACCCTAACCGTCTCCGACGACCCCCTCACCGGCCATTTCGCATCCTTCAACGACCTCTCTCACGAGCTCTCCTCCCTCCACGAGCTCGCCGTCCGTGGCTCCTGGCGCTCCGTCCTTGACAAGGTCGCCCGCGCCCGCTCACTCTCTCTCCTCCAGAAGCCCCACGACCACCTCACCTACCTCTCCTTCAACGTTGTCGCCCTCATCAAGCTCCGCCGTTTCGCCGATGCCTCGGCCGAGCTCGATTCCCTCGACGACCTCGACGGATCTCACTACAGGTACGAATCTTACCCTAATGACTACCCTAACCGGACCGGATCCATGGTCCCCTTCTCCCTCCGGTGGTGCTGCGCCGTTATCCCGATCAAATTGGGCCGCCGACAGGACGGCCTCGACCGCCTTTACGCCCTCCTCGATTTCGTACGGAACAAGGTGATTGAGAAGAAGGACCGCAAGGATTTGAGCGTCTCCGCTAGGGTTTGGAAGAATCGAGAGCTTTTGATGACGAATTCGATAATCGGAGTCCATTTGAGCGCCAAGGAGTTCTCAGTTTGTTTGAATTTGATCAAGGAATTGCTCGATCGCGGATTTCTCGATCCGATCCTGTTGTCGAAGCTCGGGTACATTCAGATGCAAATTGGCGATCTTGAAGGCGCGAAAAGCTCGTTCAATCGAGTCGAGGGTTTGATGAAGAAGAATGATTGGGAATTGAGCGAGATTCAGTTGGAGAACCTGGTGAATCGGAACAAGGCGTTGGTTTATTTGGTCGGAAAAGACTACGTCTCGGCGGTGAGAGAGTACGAGGAGTGCATCGAGAGGGACGGGGCCGACGTGGTGGCGATCAACAACAAAGCCATTTGCTTGATGTACTTGCGGGATTTGTCGGATTCGATCAAGGTTCTGGAGAATGCGCTCGAGCGTGTTCCGACGGTGGCTTTGAACGAGACTCTTGTGGTGAACTTGTGTAGCATGTATGAACTGGCTTACGTGAATCACTCCGATATTAAGAGGACTTTGAGTAATTGGATTGCCAGAGTTGCTCCTGATGATTTTGATTCTTCCTGTACTCGGATTTGAGATAGTTTCTACTTTCTTTGAGCCAATTCATACTTTTTTTTTTTTTTTAAAGTTATACAGTTGATGCTAATAGATTGGTTCTTTGGGCGAGCAATTCTTGATGATTTAGTTTGAGTTCAAATCTCTGTATCTGAAACTGTAATAGTTGATTGGCTTCGTTATGATATTAGATTCATTTGGGTATCTGAAATAAGAATCATATAGCATTATGAACAACTGTTTGCTTCCTTTTCATGGTACTTGAACAGTTAAAAGTTACTTGTTTCTGGTGCATATACACATTCTTGCGTAGTTGTGGACTTCGAAGCTATACTTGGTTAGAAATATTGTTGTCTGTTTCATAGGTGCCACCCAAAAAGTTTTGGTTCAAATTGTTTTCGTTACGATGTTTTTTCTTTAAAAAAAAAATTTAACAAATTTGAATTTTTGTTCAAAACCTATGAACCAAATAAGCAAGAAATCTCCTTTACATATGTATCCTTTTCCCGTCTTGCGGTTGAAGTTCCATTTCCTTGCCTGTTAAAGAAAAGTGACTTTACTTTGATCGAGGATTAGTTACCTCATATGCGATTTATAAGTATTTTTCTGTTGCGTTAAGAATTAGGTATTAAGTGTTGTATCTTATATCAGTACTTTGGAGTCGTGGACATTAATTTTTCTTCACGTGGATTCATCTTCTAGTTAGGGAACATTTATATTGAAATAGTGGGAACTATTTGAAAGAAGTACCAACTGAAATGCAAATAGAGAGAACAGCCCAAGTATTTGTTTGGTTTGCAGTTTGAACTATGTCCAGACCTTTTTGCCCAAGTATTTGTTTGGTTCGCAGTTTGAACTACGTTCACACCTTTTTTCTGTTCAACTTATGAACCAAACGGGTCACGAGTAAAATGAGGTGCCTAGAACTAGAAGAGTTTCCTTTGAAGATATCTTTCTGGAGGAAAAAGTTTTGAAGCAAGATTCTGATAAACTCGATATATGGCAGTAGTAAAGGCAGAAGAACCATGCCAAAATCCAAAATGGTGGTTCTTGCCTTCTGCTAGTAAAAATGGTTTAACTTCTGCGTTCTCACCAGCAATTTGAGTTGTGAATGTAAAGACTAGATAACAACAATCAGTCCCCCATTTTTGGCTGGTAAATGCGGGATAGGATTCACTCTGGCAGCAAAACTTCTTTGTCTATTTATCTATAACAGTGCATATCTTTACTGTGACCGACAAAGAAAAGATCCAGTTCGGGGCCCGGGAGAAGCGATTGACAGCTACTTTCTCCGCTAAAACCGGTGATTATGGATTCCAATCACATCAATATGATTATCGCAGCACATATTTGGCGTGTTAAGGTATATCTGACATGTTGCTTGTTGTAGCTTGTGCCATTCATATTTATGTTGGTCTGTTGGTGGAAATTAACGTGTGAAGGCTATGGGCTCGTTTAGTTCGCTAATTTAAATTTAAATATAATTTTATGTGAGAGATTTTTATTGTAGTAAAAAGGTTAAATGTGACTGTTTTTGAGAATTTTTTACTGTAATAAAACTCGAATTCTTAACTCGAATCGGTAAAATGAACGGGGCTTATATTTTTTGTTGAGGCTCTGTTAGCAAGTAGTCTCGTAGGGTAGCATTGAAGGAAACTTACATGTCTAAACTACATTTAAAGACAATGCTAACTATACAATTGTGTGCCTACTGCACAATCTCCTTTACTGCCATCCTAAACAACATAAACCAAAAGAATTTTTGACTTATTATTATTATTTATTTTTCCATCCATATAAATAGCGTCAGATTATGAAACGCTTTTGTGTTGCGCCGAAGGGCCCAAAAATAAATAAATAAATAAAAATAAAAGGCTCTCACTAACTGCTTGAAGTAAAAAATCGGATCGAAATTTTTACCTAATTGAAAGTTGTTAGTAATAACTTATCAGTTACACTATTCTAATTGCTGAAAAAATTTAACCAATGATTTGGAGGGTGGAAAAGGGAGAGGAAAGAAATTGGAGGAGAAAAGATGTTTTAGGGAAAGGAAAGCTGAGAAGGAAAAAAATTATAAATTCATAAGGGTTTCATTTATCCTTCTATAGAGAAAATATTTGATTAAAATAAATGTGCTTTCTCTGGTAAGTTTTTTTTTTACTGATAATATCAGTTTATAATCGTTAAAAATAATTAAAATCACATTAAATTTAAAATAAATAATTTCTGATAAAAAAATTTTAGAGAATTATTTACGCTTTACTTTCTCTAGTCCTACCAAAAAAAAATCATTTTGACCCTAAATCACACCGTGTATTTCTTTTCTCTTTTACTAAAATATAAGAAAAGATCCGTCCTTCCTTCTTATCTCCCTGAATTTGGAATTTTGCCCCCTCTTTTTTTTTTTCTTTTTTTTTCTTCTCCTCCTCTTGTCAAACACGCTTTCTTTTTGTGATGGAATATCAAAACACAGTGTTAGTTAAGAATGGAAGAGGGAAATAAATTGTGCTGTGTGGTAGGAGAAGGCAGGTGATGGAGTTAGATGGGCGTACGTCTGACGACTAACGAGAAAATCAACTCTCAAGTGTTGAACAGGCTCCGTTTTTAAGCGTCAATTTGTATAAAATATAGTTAATTTTGGATTTTTTAATGTGATTTTGATTAGATTTAGAGCCCGTTTAGTTTGCTGACTTAGGTTTTTAATTCGAGTTGAGATGTGATTCTATGTGAGTTTTTTACTATAGCAAAAAAAAATTATATGTGACTGTTTTTTACTGTAACAAAACTCAAATTCTAAACTTCAATCGGTGAAATAAACAAAACTATAATATTTAAGTACATCCATTACCCATAGGATATCCTATCATAAAATACTCCTGTAACATGAAAAGAAAGTATTACACTTAATCAAAAATATAAATTTAATAAACACTTCGAAAACAAATTGTCTACTACATTTATGGAGGTATGAGTTGTGTGTAGATGAGCGCTGAAAATCAATGGTGGAGTCTCATGGGTTCTCATCGATATATTTTTTATGATCTTAGTGGTCAACTTTTTACCAATAATCTTGGTTGTGTGGCTGCTGAATTTTGTATTGTTTTTAATTTTTATTTTAATGTAATAAATGTGATGTTGATTCTATTGTTTTAATTTATATGTTTTCATCATGTAATAACGAAAGTTTTCATCTCATTTTATAATGATAGTAGGTCTATTTTGCTGTGATTATTATTTTATGCGGTTTTATGAGTGACCCTAATGCTTTGAATCATTTGGTCTCGATTGAGTGATTTTATCAATCAACTGTACTAATTTTATTAAACAAGTTTTTGTCGCTTTTGATTATTAATATATCACTTTTGATTATTAATATATTGAGCGGGTCTTTTTCTATTAAAACTGGACATGCATATTTACCTTCGGGTCTTATCTGTTTTTTTGATGGATCTAATTTTTCTCCGTGACTGATTACCCATATATTTAATGGTCATTTGCCATTATTTTAAAGTTTGAAAAAGTGGTTGAAAAGTTAGTTTCGTTTGTTTTTGTTTGTTTATTTTATTTATTTTTTCCCCTTCACATGGAGACTTCTGGCTTGGGCATTTAACAAACTAGTTGTTTGTCGTCAAAATTCACAAACCTTTTTTTTAATAAGTAAATTCATAAACCTTGTACTGAAACTTTTTAGCTTAAAAAAAAAAAATCCAGTATTTAACAAACTAGTTGTTTGTCGTCAAAATTCATAAACCTTTTTTTTTTTTACAAGTAAATTCATAAACCTTATACTCAAACTTTTTAGCTTAAAAAAACATCCAGTCATCTACTAGCATATTCAATAGTGTTTGGTGTTGACGATTTTATTTTTATTTTTGATAATTGTGTTGAGGCATCCTACCCTATATGAGTTCCATATGAAACTTAATTTTGGTTTGTAAACAGGAGATAGTATACTTAAAGTTTAGGTTCTTTAAATTTTAAGCAAAGTGACATTTTGATTGCTGAATTTTTAATTTTAGTATATTAATTCTTGAACTTTCATTTTTTTCGTTCCTACTGCCAAACTTGATGAACAATTTCTAAACTTTAATAAAAAATCATTTATTTCTTGCACGAGAAATTAAAATTTTACAAGAAGAAATGTTTCTTGCAAAATTTTCTATTTGTTACTATTAAAACCGGTTGAAAACTATAAAATTTAGCATTTATTGAAATTATTTGTGTAAAATTTTTAATTTTTATGCAAAAACAATGCAATTATTTACACCAAATATCAGAAATCATTTGTCAATTTTAATATCATGGATCAAAATTGTTAAAAATAAAAAATTTAGGGACTAATAATATTGATGTTAAAAGTTCAGTAATTAAAATGTTACTATACTCAAAATTTAGAGACTAGTAGCGTAAATAACACCTAAAGTTTAAAGTGTAAAATATGAATAATTTTCAATTGTGCAAGATGATTGAAGACAAGATAGACTGGCCAACCTCCTTTGAATTGCAGGTACTAAGGGCTCGTTTAGTTTGTTGATTCGAATTGAGATGTGACTTTATGTGAGAGTTTTTTATTGTAACAAAAAAGTGAGATGTGACTGTCTCTGAAAGTTTTTTACTGTAACAAAATTTAAATTTTAAACTCAAATCAGTGAAATGAATGGGGCCTAAATTTACAAGCTCAACTTAAATAATTTCCAAGTCATCCATTGATGAGCGATTTCTTTTTCTGAACCGTGTATAATGTGAGAATAATTACAAGTCCCGTTCATTTCACTGATTCGAGTTTAGAATTCAAGTTTTGTTACAGTAAAAAGCTCTCAGAAATAATCACATCTAACTTTTTTACTACAGTAAAAAGCTCTCACATAAAGTCACATATCAACTCGAATTAAAAACTCGAATCAGCGAACTAAACAGACCCGCATTTCTCGTGACCTCTACTATTCAAGCACATATTTACTCTACAGTAACATTCCTCCTAATCAAATTAGTCGTTGGAATCTAACACGAGTATGTTTTAATTGGTTAGTTGGGTTTCTCTTCTTATTATTTTTGGCCCTCAAACAAAAAATTTAGACCATAAATAAGGGAGTCATTTCGGTAGGACCAGTAAAATGAAATTATTAGTAATTTTATTTTTTTCAATTATTTTTAATCATTAAATCTGTATTAAAAATTATTTATTATGTAT